AATATTATAGATAAATATATAGGTGAAGATTTTTTTTACATTGTGTCGTTATTGTAGTTGATGGTGTTGTCGTTGTTCCTGGAATTAATGTTTCACATCGTTGACCTGTATATATTGTTGGACAATTACAATATGGATTCATTCCATCCATTCGACATGTACCACCATTTTGACAGAATCCAATAGGACAATTATCTTTAAAATATCAAATATAACATTCTATATATGAAAGAAATTTCTTTTATTTTTAATAATATTAAAAACATACGCTCTGGTATGTCACAGATTGGTCCAGTCCATCCTGTTGCACAGCTACATGTATAAGCAGCTCCATTCATTACACATGTTCCACCATTTTGACATACAGGATTACATGAAGATGCTTAAAAAAAAACATTCAAAATAAGAAGAATCAAATCGAATATAAGAAAGAAAAAATAAGATTATCATACGAAGAACAATAGTTTCGTCACATAGTTGACCTACATAACCAGGAGAACATTTGCATTGATAACAATTGAGACTGTTTTCATCTTTTACACAACTTCCATTTCCACATTGAACGAAATCACATATCGGAACTAAAGATAGAAAATATCAATATGAATAATTAAAATATTTTCTTTAAATTTTCTTACTATCTGGAGTTAGACATTTATTAATTGTAGTTTGTCGAACAGATCGATGTTTTAATGCATCAATATGTATTAATGATAGTACAATTAAAATCATTGATATAGTCAGCCATTGAAAAGCTATCATTTTATCTTTGAATATCTTTGGTCGATAACGAAATAGCAATCTATCAAAGTGATTCGTCTTCTATCTTCAACTCTCTCTATATATAGATATATTTAACTCAGACTCCTTGCTAACCTTATATTAAATCAGTGCCACGTATATAAATATATGACGTATCAATACCGAGTAGGGATTAAAAAGAAAAAAGTCAATTATTTCAATTATCAAATATTCTATTATATGAATGTATCTTTATTTTCTTTTTTTAGTCAAAAAAAAAAAGGAAGAAAAGAATGATATTGAAGAGCATTTATCTTATATTCATGATATTGACGAAAAAGATTATCACCTGAAATAGATATTCTATCATATATAAATTAGAAGAAAAATATATAAAATCATTCTAAGTCATGTTTTTTATTTATCGATAGATGTGGGTGGTAAATCGATTGTAGGTGTTTGAAAAGAAATGTATACTTCATTTCACTATTTAATATATATTTTCTTTAAAAAAAAAAAAAAAAGAAAGAATGTTTATATTAGTCTGTATAAACAAGAAAAATTGTTACAGTTACATAAGCATCTGAAGTTTCTTTTGAAATTGTTAAATGACGGTCCCATTTTACATCCCATATACATCGACTAGCTACACGTAAATCTTGACCTTTCTTTTCTCCAATAGTTACTTGTACAACAAGTTTATAACGTTGAAATGGTAATTGTTTTATTTGACCACGTATACGTTCAGCTAAGGCTAAAGAAAATTGTTTTCCTTGATTTGGATCATATTTATAACCAGATATAGCTGTTTCAATAACACTTGTTGCAACACGACGTAATCGAGCTATATCAACTTTATGATCATCATCAGGTTCCATTCGATATGTATTTTCATATCGAATAAGTCGACGATCAAATCCAGCACGAGGAATTGAAGTACGAGATGATTGACGACGAGCTCGTGCAGCTGCAGCATTTGCACCAAAACCACTAGTGCCGGGTAAGTTTGGATTACGAGGTACAGAAACACGTGGTTTTGAACTACGTTTTTCTGAACCGAAAGCTTCAGCAGGAACATCTTCAACTACTGTATTTAAATCAGCCATTTTAAACTAAATAGAAAATAGGAAAAAAAAAAGAAGCTAAATGATAGTTTGATATTTATAAGTAACCAAAGAAAATTTGTTGTTTTTACTTACTAGTGCCTATCAACACAAATAATTTTTACTGTTGTACATTAAGTATCGTTGTTGCCGTCACTACACGGTTTTGTTAAGTATCTAATGGACTTTATTATTATTTTTTTTGTTCTTTCATATTATGGCTGTTAGCAATGCTCATATGCACCATTATATTTAAAGAAAAAAAAAAAAAAAACGTTCGGTTTGATGTAACAAACTGTCGCTGTTTCTTTTCTTTTTTTTATTCTATTCGCATGAATGCCTGCAGCTATCGTTGTAATTGTAGAAATAATTATATTCAATGTATGCTTGAACTTTTTTTTCATGTAGTTGTTGAAAAAAAGAAAACTTAGACAAGTAAAATTTAACTAAAAATTTTATTCATTTTACATTAAATGAATAATATCATTTAAAAATTCCATAGACTCTTTACTATTATCATTAGAAGAATATATAATGATTGTTTAATCAATTTTATTAAATATATTTTACTATTCAGTTTTTTTATTGTTACAGTTTTACATAGAGGTATCATAATTCTATTAAAACATTCATTAAAAGGTTTGATGATACAACAAGATATCATAAAATGATTCATTCTACTTTAGTTCTAATATATCTTAATTCATTTTGATCTTACTATATAAAATATTGCATGAATATTTAAAATTATATCGACTATTCTTTTTTAATGACATTTTGATAATAGTTCCAATTTGAGGAAATGATTTCCGAAAAAAATCTATCGGAAGAAAATTATTATTTTCAATTATAGAATGAAACAAATTTTTGAAGTCGTTCAGGTCTACAAAAAAAAAAAAAAGAACTGTCTATAGAAAATTAGCCCTTATCAAAAGAACTTTTCAAGAGTTGTTTAGCTCTTTTGATCTAAAACTGTTGTAGGGTCTATTCAAAAACAAGATGAATAAAAGTAATCATTGACATATTCCGGATCTTTTAATAAACTCTTTGATTATGATATATGAACCAAAGGTAATGCAGAAGTTTCGACTCAGTTTGTTTAATAAAACTATAGAAGAACTTCTAGGACTAATATTTTTGTTAATGTTTATGATTCTTCGACTACTCTTGAATATTTATTAACCAAAAACGTCCTTGTTTTTATATTTATACTTGTCTCAATAGATTCATTCTCAATAACGAAAAAATTTATGTCAAATTAATTGATTACATATTGATGCAGTCCGTTATAATAAGTATGAAATTTATATCTAAAAACAAAAACCAAAAAACTAATGTTAAATCTCTATTTAACATTTCTTCAATAAATAAAAAGAACAACAGTATATAACTGTTCAATGATAAATAGTAAGATTCGGAAAACGTGTTCGAAGAAAAATGAATGTAATATAATCAATATCTATATTTTCTGATAAATCAAGTATAAGTAAATTGTTCTAAATAAATAATCAAATATAAATATTTATTATTTTTACATCAAATCTTACCATAGTTTTTTCTTCAAATAATTTTCCAATACCATTTGATGTAAATTTATTTTTTGATAAATTTAATGATTTAAGTTGATCTAATGTTAATTTGCTTAATTGATCAAATATTTCATCAGTTAGATTATTCTCTTAATGAAAACAAAAAAAAAGAATATTGTTGTAAAGTACAATCTAAACGGAAATGTGTCTCAAAATAAATAGAATAAAAGAATTTCACTGTAATTATTAATAGCAGCTACGTCATGTTTTATATTTTAATCCCGTCGGAATGATACTAATAGTTTTATAAAGATTAAAAATAAAATTAATTAATTAATTACCTGATAAATCAATTGAATAAATAAACATAAAATTTTCGAATACTTTTAATATACTAATAGCTTGTTCTAATTTTAAACTTAATCGTTGAAGTGATAATTCAAATTTATCAAAAAATATTTTTAATATAGATCGAATATTTGAATAAACAACTAAACACTTTTCTTTACAAATTTCTTCATAAACAATAATTGGATTTTTTTCAATATAAATTGCTTTAATCTTATAATAAATAAAATTTTATATCAAAAATAAAAACAAAAACAAAAACAACGAAGTGCTTGCATTTTACTTACATCAGATTCATCAGCCGGTATAGTCAATTGAATAGTATCACTTTCGAATATACCTAATTCCCAATCTTGTCTATCGTAAAGTGTAACAAAACATGCATATATATTAAAATTATCATATAAACGTTTAAGTATTTGATAACGAAGATTAGTTATAGTATCTGATGATGATCTGAAAAAAAAATGAAATATTATAAAACTATATGAATTTTTCCTACATTGGTATTCGAAGTCTTTTATCTTGAATTGTTCGATCACTTGTATTAGCTAAACATCGAATAATTCTTGTATTTGTATCATGTAAAATAGAAGGTGAAAGAAGAATTGTTGTATTAATTGATGATGTTGTTGATGCTTGTCGTGATCTTATTGTTGATTTTGGTGTTATTGTTTGAAATGATGAAATAGGTGAATTTTTTTGAAATGATATCATAAAATCAAAATTATCAGTATTAAATATTTCAATATCATTTGATAATAGTGATTGATTATTCGTCATTGTGCATTGTCGTTTTTGTTCAGGTGTATATAATGGTGAATGTAAATGTTCTTTTTGTATTCTTGATATTGTTTCAATACATTCAGAATCATTAGCAATTGAATTATTTTCATATGTATCAATGAAAAATTTCTTTCTTTTCTTTATTAAACATACTCGTTGATTTGTTATCATATTACGATTTGTTTGAATAGTTTTATAATAAGATTGAGAATTTTTTTCTTTATCTAATGTTTGTTTGTTATCAAAATCATTTCGAATAATTTGTTGTATACAATAAATTGGTTCATTTTCTAAATACAAAAACAAAAAAAGAGAATTTTATATCGATCTATATCAATAACATTTTCATACTTCGTATAGTAGCTAAAAGTTGTTCTTTAAAACAATTCAATTTTCGATGATCATCTAATGATATATTTTTATTATAATCAATCAAATAATCAATAGCTGTATAACCCTAAAATAATAATACAAAACTAAAATAAAACTCAAGAACAATAAAAACAAAAAAGATCAAACATTATTTGTACGAATATCAATTTGTGCACCGTATATCAATAATATTTCAATGATATCGAAATATTTATTATAACATGCATTAATAAGAGCAGTTATGCCATTATTTGTTCGTGCATTAATATTTGCTTTATGATCAAGAAGATATCGAACAATATCAATATGTCCATAATAAGCAGCATTATGTAATGGTGTCCAACCATGACAATCAAGAATATTAATATTGTCCTAAATGTAATAGAAAAATTAACAATTGATTCACTAAAATATGTATATTAACTACTCCTTCAATAATATATTGTTTGATTTTTTCTAAACCATTTTTTTCTTTACATGCTAAATTTAAACGATTTTCATGAGAAGAATTTATCTTCTAGAGAATAAAAAAAAAAAACAAAGTCAACAGAATATTATCTAGTCATTCAAAAGTAAAATACAATAAAGTACCATTAAATCTTTTCTATTTTGTATGATTTCATGATTTTCTTCATCATTATCATCATCATTGTCTGTTAGATTTTCATGTGATTCTATTAAATTTGTAATTTCATTAAAATAACATTCCGAACATCGTAAAATTTCACTATAATTTTCTTCTGTTATAGGTGGTTGAATATTTGCTATAAATTCTTCTAAATCATTATTTAAATATATATGTGAATTACGTAATTTCATAGCAAATACAAGTGCAACTGCCATTCTCTATTCGAAAGAAAAAAAAACAAATTGAATATTTATTTAAATTAGAAAAAAAAAAAATTTTTTTTTTTTTACAATTAAATTTCTATCATTTGTCGATCGAGCAATAGTTAATACTCGTTGAAATGTTCTTATTCGTGAATTAAGATCAATTTTAAGACGATATTCACATTTAATTATTTCACAAAGTGAATAACCTTGCTGAAAAATCAAAATATTTGTTTTTTTTTGTGTTAAAAATATTTATTTAGAAAATAATATTATACTTCAATATCAGCATGAATATCTAAACCAATACGACAACTCATTTCACGTCGAAAATAATCAATACTTAATTGCCATTCTTTTAAATCTTGATAAATACAACCAAGTGATGAATAAATAGTTGCCATATGATTTTCATCTAAATTTAATTCTTGAGCATGTTTTAACTAAAATTTAAAAATGAATATTTTTTTAATTTTTTAATGAAAATTATTTTTTTTATTATTTACTTGTTTAAGATAATAATTTTTACTTTGTTCATATCGATTAAAATGAGAAAATATATCAGCACATTTTTCTGCTAAATAGATTTTTTTTCTTAAATTAATTTCGTTTTCATAATCATTTTCAAGACCTGTAAGAATATGTTGAACTAAAATATTTCATAAAAATAATTTAAACAAAAAAAAGAAAAAGAAACAAAGAATCTATACTATTAGTTATATCTTGAAATACTTTTTCTTTTAATAAATCATCAATTTTTTTATAATGATAAATTTTCATAAGATAAATTTTTGCTTCTTCATATTCATCAAATGAAATAAATGTCTAAATAAAATATTTCTTTTTAAAAATTTATATTTTTACAAGATTGTATACTTTTAAAAATGCGTATAACTCAACAAAATTTGAAAAGCATTTATAAGTCTACTGCTCCGAAATGATGATCGTTTTACTAGACTTGTTACAAGTTGGAAATTTCAATTATAGAACCATGAGATAATCTGCAAAGTTTCGTTATATAAGAGTCGTATATCTCAAGAAAGAATCATTCATATCTTGCTTAACATTTCCTGAGGTTATTAAAAGTGTTAAATCGAAATTGTTTAAATATCATGATAAAAACAATATGAATGCAATAATAGATTTTTATGTGTCGCATGGCAATCAGAATTAGAGTAAATATTTTCTTCTGCTGAATAGTATATGTTTTATCTATTGTTCTACCTTCATAATCAATATAACGGAAAGCCAAGGAGATTTGCCCTACACATCTCGAATTATGAATCTTTCACTATTAATCCGTATAAATTTATAGTTAACTAATTTAAATACTGATAAGAGACTCGTCCGAACTGATTCACTCTTTTGGAGTTCACATTTTGAGGAATTAGGAGAAGTCTCTAGATTAGATAATTCGAAGCTATTTTAGGTTCATCGGACTTCTGTACAAAACTACGACGATTGTACTAATTTTTTTACTCTGAGGTGAGATATTGGCAGGAAAATTGAGCAACGAGTTTTTGGACCTAAAATTTTTGTCTATAAGTAGATGTCATGATCTGAAGAATATCCGAAAAGTTTTGGTCTAAATGATTCCTTCCTTCTCGAAATACTCAACGTCCAAACATTTCCAATTTTTTAGATTGTTTCTAAAATCTAATCAGTTTTGAATATTATAAATATTTTAAAACGAAAGCAATCTTTTTTACTTGAAACTTTTAGGATATTGCTGGGGTCATGAAGCCTACTTACAGACAAAATTTCAGGTCAAAATTCCGTTGTTCACCATTGCTCTCAATATCCTATCTCAGAATCAAAAACTAGTAAAGCAATCGTTGCGTTGTAGAGAAGGCATGTAAACTCGAATTCATTTGTATTTATTCTTACCTAGACGTCCCATCTATATGTCAGCCGCTCTGACTGAATAGAAATGATATTCATTATGTATGTCAAAAGTACTGTAGTCAAACATTAGTACCATCTAATTATGTACTTATCTTGAGCAAGACATTCATAACTACTACCTCAAATCACTCTTCATTAGCATACATTTGTTACTTCAATGTAACCTTGCACGATATATATTCTGGACACGATCGGTGTGCTAACGATAAGTATGTATGGAAAGTTCAATGAACAAGACGATTAAGCAGATGGATACTCTCTTTTGAAGCTTATCAAAACTACCTAAGCAGCAGAGCCCTGCAGGGTAAGGCTTTTTTGCATCCTTATCCTACTGTATAGACTTTTCACGCTAATCCTATCCTGTCCTATAGATTTTGTATCATACAACCTACTGTATCTTAAAATTTCCAAGTTTTGGCAGATACGAATAGGCCGTTTCTTTTTTTAGAATTATGAAATAAGTGCAGTTTTATGTATATTATTGATAGCTAATGAAATGTATATTAATATCATATAATAAAATAAAATATATAGTAATTATTATATAATAAAATACGTAATAATAACCATAATATAGCTTTCGGCGAATCCTAAGACCCATCATCCGGACTTGCAACTGGTAATGGTAAACGGTTGGTTCGGTAGAAGATTTTTTGCCGGCCGGTAGAGATAACTTGTTTTTCATCGATCTGTCTGAATTTCTAATAGTTTTTGCATGTGTTTTTATCGCAAAATTGAAGATAAGAGTGATTTTTTTTCACGAATCACAAATTTTTTTTGGTGATGTTGAAGGCTATATCAGTGATGAGATATGCATCAGACTATTGTATTAAGTCTAAATTTTTCATAGTATCCGTATTATATTTTCTCAACTAAATTTGATATGATGTCACGTTATTTTAAAAAAAATTGAATAATTTTTTTATATTGTAGTTTTTGATAGATTTTTTTGTATTGTGTACTTTTATAGCATATATTCCCCACAAACATAAGATATAGAAAGGTAAATATAGCGTGTAGGGGTGTCAGATTAGCATTAGTATTAAAATAATGCTAACGCTCAAGCATTAGAATTAACATTAATTAAGACTAATGCTAACATTGATACGATACCCCTAATAGCGTGGCAGGCAGATTATGTATACAGGTAACAAGAAGCGTGAATATCTGAAGACTAATTAGTTAAAGCACAAACTTAATATGGAACTTATAGTCCTATGATGTCTTCTGTGCACTAGTAGATGCCAAAAAAGCGAAAACGTAGGAAAATAAATAGTAATAGACACTATAGTCTTGAAGCAATGCTTTTATACCATCACTATAGTGATTAGGAGGAAGATATGACTAATCCAGGGGCTGATTTGACTGTTATAGAGTCAGAAAAAAAGAAGAGTAACTCATACCGATATATCGACCGGTCTGGTCTGACAGTTTAGACCGGTACCAATAAGGGAAAAACTCTATTAGTTCCAACTCTGTCTTCTGGGTGTTCATGTATTTAAATAATGGTGCAATTACATGACCATGCACCCTATTTCATGCATTTTAATGCATTACTTCGCAGATAACACATTGTAGTGCATTATTTGCAAACAGAATGCATTGAAATCCGTGCAATAGATTGCATTTCAGAGGTCGAAACCGTATCAAATAAGCGAATACTTCGATTTGATTCAATTCGACTGAGTCGAATTGAATCCAATCGAAATGAAGGTTTTCTTATTCTTTTCGGTCTCTGTTGCATTATGATGTAATTACATCCATTATTTCGATAGTGGTTACATGGATCGATTTTTAAGCTAGCTAGATGTCAAAGTGTCTTCGAAGTTGCTTGTCAAACAAATCTCAGAAATATGACCAACACCTTAATTCTATCCTAAACATTTTTTGTACCATCCTTACACTACCCTATGGACTTTCTAACCTAACTCGTACCCTACGCTATAGGGTAGGATCACCCTGCGGGACTCTGCTAAACACTGCTCCTATACCAGCAACAGTGGGCGAAATGTGAGGTATCTTCTTCTTCTTCTTCTTCTTCTTCTATATGCCCAAAATAGGAATTCAACAGTGATGAATCACTTCTAACAGTTTTCACATAAGTTATTTTTGGTTTATAACATATACAGTTTTAGATAAAAGTAGTAGCTGCTCTGCATGAAGTACTACTATTCTTTTTAATACTATGTTGATATTTTGAATGTATGCGTATGATAATAAACCTTGATCGCAAGCAACCACCCGTCCTTCATTGTTTCACGTGTACTAGAGTGATGATTTAAACATCTTGTTCTCATTTTCAAAAAACATATTCAGTGAAAATAGGCATTCAACAAGTTTTTATTTGTCATTTTGCAATTTCACAAGCTGTTACTGTTTTCCTTTAAGTACTAAAGACAGTCCCAAATATCTAATTTATTATCATCAAAGCTCATAATACATAATCAAGACCTTGGTAACTAGCACGTCTCGAGATAATCGAACTAATGTCATAGGGCTAACTGATCTTCATTCAGCACTTCAACTCCAATACTTTCAAAACAGATTCATCGCATCTCACAGGAACTTTCTACTAAAATTTTCAAACGAATTAATCATGGTTAGCATGGAAAAGATCCATCTTACTAAAACCCAGCATTAGACTCTTCAACCGACATTCTTAATAAGAAGACAATGTCTCAGTTATTTTAAAAGTAATTTCTAACAAAAAGAAAAATCGAAGTATAGATAGCTACCAGAGGTAGATGATGTATGAATCATAACTCTAGTGCATGTGAATCGATACAGATTATGTTAGTGCTTTCGATCAGCGTTTATTGTGACACCGATACACCCAAATTATCAGTTCAATATCCCTAGAGAATGCTAGTATTTCATGAGGAGCAGTTACTTTTATCCAGAAGTATATTTTACAGTTTTTATTCTTTTTTAACATTGTCGAATATTTGCCACAAAATCTTACTTGAGCTATATCATATAAACATGATAAATATTCATTGGTATTTTTTGTTAATTGAACATAATGTATCGCTTGTTTCATAGTAGCAATGATTTCTTGTTTATACTGTAAATAATTTGGTAAGCAAAGATAAAAGCCTGATACAGATGAATGAAGACGTGCTAATTCTTCATAAAAATTATACTTTCTAGAAATTCATAAACAACCACTAACAAAAACAAACAAAAAAACAAAATCCTATGATTTACTTCGAAAGTTCATTAGCATTTTTTATATATTGACTAAAAGCTTGAAGATTTGCATTATCTTTACCATCGTTTAGATATTTTTCACTCATAACATTTGCTAAAGATATAAAAACAAAAAGAAATAATTTTCTCAAGAAAAAAAAAAAATTTCTTTCAAAGTTTACCAATGTTAATATAACTTCTAACACGTTTTAATGCTAAATCTTGTTGTCTTTGTTCAATATCTTTTATTTTATTAAAACGTTTTTCTTTTATATCAATTTCTAATTTATCATCAAGTTTTTTAATAATTAATAAACTATTTTTTGCTGCATCAAAACTTCGTTTACATAAATCACGTGGAAATTGATCATATTCACAATCATAAAGTATATCATCTTGTAAATAACTTAACCATATCCAATATATATTTGCTAAACATGTATATGCTTGTTCAATACGTTCATTATTATTATATTGTTTTGCTAATGATAAAAAATTTAAATAATATCTTTCACTTGTATAAAATTCATTTTTATATAAATAACATTCACCTAAAAATCGATAACAATAAAGAATATCATCATGTAAATCAGCTAATTGTGATTCATATAATTCAAGATTATAATATTTTATTGCTTCATCATAATTACCTGATTATAAAAGTAAAGGAAGAATAAACTGAATTTTACTTTTTTTTTTTTTTTTTTTTTTTTAATATTTAAAATAAATACCAATAGATTGACATGCTTGTGCTACTTCATGATAAATATCGATCTTTTCTTGAGAATTATTATGTGAATGTAATTGACTTATTTGATCAGCTTTTTTTAAAAGTTCTATAGTATAAACAAAAAGTAAATTTGTTTTTTTTCCTCAGAAAAGAAAAAGATCTATTAAACATTATTATACTTTGAATACTTTTTTTATTCATTAAGATTCACATACATCTGAAATAAAATACGGAGTATTTTTTTCTTTATTAAAACGTTAAAATATTTAATCATTTGATAATGTTAAAAGCTAAAATTATTTATATACATTTCTTCTTGAAACTTATTCACAGTTTTGATTGAACAATTAACTAAAAATTGACAAGATATGATCACTATTATGTTCATTAATATTTCTTTTTTTATCAAATAGAAATCTTCGATATACAGACGATACTATTGAAGACCATAGAAAATTTCACACATATTTTGAATGTCGTCACATTATATTAATTTCTTTTTCTTTTTTTTTTCTTAACGAAAGGTTAATTTCAAATATAGACCATTAAAATCATACTATTTATGTGTGAAAATCAAAAAAGAATTTCTATTTCTTCGTTCTGTATTATTCAATTGGTTTAGTAATTTTTCATAATAAACAAATACAGTAATATCATTAGTAGGGGGTGTACTTTCACATAGAACTATCCAATATTATATACAGATTAGATTAATTTTTCATTGCAAACTTGAACTAAGCAATTTAAACTCTGTACCATTAAATTATGTAGCCATAATCAATTTTATTTAAGAATGATTTGGTTAGTTAGATTATCACAGAAAAAAAAAACAAGTAAAACTATGTCTTTTTTTTTAACCATATATTTGTTCAGATGAATATGCTTCATAGCCACTATCGCTACCAAGACCAGTTGAATAACCCCAATATCCCGAATCACCAGCTGATGATTCAAAACCGCTACTGTAGCCACCAGCACCGCCTAGACTATAGCCACCAGCACCGCCTAGACTATAGCCACCAGCACCGCCTAGATTATAGCCACCAGCACCACCTAGACTATAGCCACCAACACCGCCTAGACCATAGCCACTACCTAAACTGTAGCCACCACCTCCTACTGTCGAAAGACCGCCACTGATACCATAGCCAGCACCACCTAATTGATAACTTCCGTAATTAGCTGATTGCAAGCCATGTATTGCACCAGCAGGTGGTGACTAAACAAAAAAAAACAGGCAAACGAACAATAATGTTTGATTTTATGATATAAAATGTACTAACAATATCTTCAACAACACCAGCTTGTCGAGCATGTGAAATAAGTGAGTGAGCATCTTCCAATTGAGTTCCATAACGTGCAACGTATTCAGCTGGATTAACACATGCAACACCCATATTTACAAATCGACGAACAACCTGAGCTCTAGGTGGTTCATAACTATAAGTTAATGATAATAAGTATAAGTATTATTGAAGTTATCAATATTTTATACGTACTAAATAATAATATTACGTGGTTTGGGAATTATTGGAGGTGGAGCTCGTTGGAGAATCACACGACGTTTATGTTGAACTCGATATGGCAACCAACGCTCGACGATAATATCACGTGGTTTAGGTGGAAGAGGTGGTAAACGTTCGATAATAACCGAACGAGGTGGTACAGGTATTGGTGGAAGCATCCTAGTAATCACTAGAAAATCAAAGATTTCTTCTTCTGTCACTACATTTATTAATCATCTTACCTTGTGTGGCTACTGGTGGTGGTAGTCTAGGTGGAGCTTCACGAATAACAACGGGTGGTAATACAGGTGGAGGTGGTGGACGTTGTCCTACATGATTAGAAATATAAAAATAGATTGTTTTAAATATTGATCTACTTACGAATATAAAGTGGTGGTGGTGGTGGTGGTTGAATTGGACGAACTTCTTTAATAATAAGAGGCTAAAATGATGAAAAAAAAAAAGAAAAATTTTTTCTATTCATTATAAATGATTCCTATTTGAAATACTTACACCTGGTGGAGGAACTGGTGGTGGTTGTAAAAATCTAACTGAAACTCGTTGAGTATATGTTTGTGCACCACCTGGAGCTGGTCGACGAATAATGTGAGGATTAGGATCTTGATATAGACCTTGAGCATCCGTTGCATAATGCGTTGCTAAGGAAGCTGCTTGGTGTCCGAAACCCCCTAAACCATAATTACCACCAACGGATGATGAGTAATATCCACTATTACCAATACCACTGGCTAGTAATACAGCGGAAGCGTCTTGCAAACCAAGACCATTAATGGATGATGAATAATATCCACCACTAATACCTCCACTACCACCTAGAACAACACCACCAACTCCAGCTCCATATTCTGCTGTAGATGCTGTTTCATAACCTGAATAACCTCCAAATGCATCATCTTGTAAACCTCCACCATATGCAAGATCATATCCGTATGAAGCTACTCATAAATAATATTAGTATAGGTAAAGTAGATATATATATATATATGTATATATTTATTTTTTTGTTTATTTATATTTAACTATCTTGATTTTACGAAAAGTCGTCATCAAAATAAAAAATATACCTACCTCCACCGGAACCATTATGATAGAATGAAGATTGTTCCAAGGACATATTTCAGTTTATTACTACCGCTTTAAGATAAAACCTATCTAGAGATTAAAAAAATATTATATCCAATAAACAAGTTGTTTACATTCTTTTTATATAAATCAAAACTACATCTAACGAGTGAAAGTGTACAAAAAAGATAATTTATCCCAGTTTATATTCAGCAAGAGAGAGCTGATGACGTCCGTTTCTTCATCCATACCTCATGGTTAGTCGAGTGTGCAATTTATGTTTCTTTCGCTCGTCTTTTGCTGGTTATCAGCACTTTTACGTTTGATGTACATACACAAACAAAAAAAAATTACGTTCGCGTACTACAGCTAACATAATCAAGGACATCTTTCACTATGTATGATTGTTGACGGCGTGCATTACTTAATTATTCATTTATTTTTCATTCTTATATGTGCATAAGTCAAAGGCGATCGATAGACATTACCCTTGAAATAACTATATGCTCAAATATAATAAATAGTACGTTTTTTTACTACTTAAATATTTCTATATACAACAATCATCGTAATAAAAACTTGATTTTCATTGTTGATTAGTGACGATAAAACATCAATCTTAAACAAAAGCAATATATATTTAGACATTGAAACAATGATTTTTGTTTACACATATCTCTTGTCTTAATCAAAATGTGTATTATTGATGTTTTTCTATTATTATTATATGTATATCAGCATAAAAAGAAGAGACAATCTATATATCCAAGGCTGGAAACTAAATGAATCCATATTGATTTTTGAATCAATCAAATATACAATCATAGTAATACAGTTGAAAAAAATAATTACATCATAATCTACTTTTATAAAAAAAAAGAAAAAGAAAAATTCTAAAGAAATGAATGAAATTTAATCGATGACATGACATATTTCTTCTTGAATATGAAATATTGCTTTGATAATCTTATTTTAAGACTACTAATGTATTTTTCAAAGTCATGCTTTTAATCTAGGTCAAAGAATATCCTTTTGAACCTAGTACGTATAATCACATTTTCAACGCTCGTTCTTTTTTTAGAAGCACTACTATGTGCGATGTTTTTTATTTCAAGGATAAGAACAAAAGCCAATTCAAACCAATATAATACTCCCACTAGTATTGACAATGTTTACTATTCAATTTTTTCATCAAATGATAGATTTGTCGTTTTTGCTTTATTACAAATAACAAATGATATGAAAACAATGAAATTGATACAACAAAAAAACAAAACGACTAATTTGTTTTTGCTTTTGTTTTTATTTTTATTCAAATCAAGAAAAAAACATCCAAATATTTTACGAAGTTAATATTTTAACAAAAAACAAAGACTTATCAAAATCATCAATATAAACATTGAATCTATTCGATTTATTCTTGTTTTATTAAATAAAGCAACAATAGAATTGCCTTTTGGTGAACATTTTGCACAACATACATGTTTTATATAAAGATCAAGTGTAGTTGAATCATCAATTTTTGGACATATTTGTGATGGTTCACATAAAAAATCATTTTCCCAATCAATACATTCAATATTATGATGTATATCATGATTACTAGCTACTAATTCTTTAGGATTATTACTTGAACTACAATGTGTATTTAAATAAAGTATTTCAGTATCAAAATCATTATTAAATAATAATGGATCAATATCATTCTTTGAAACACATTTATCACGATAACATATTGAATTTTCACCACATTCCGAGCCTGGTAACATCGGACTATAAGCAGATTTATATTCTAAAATTTATTATTCTTATATAAAATAAATCAAAAAACAAAAAAAAAAAAAAAAAAAAAAAAAAAAAAAAAAGAATTTATTGAGCTAAAACATACCACCATTTGATTCACCGATATAATAACGTAAATATAAACATCGACTAGCTACATCGGATGACATAAATGTAAAAGATGAAACTTCTCCTAAACATTGTGAATTAGGTTCAATCATTTTTGCTTGTTGATCATTATTCATACGTTTTCCAGGCAATGTTGAATATTTATTTTTAATTGGTTGATAATTATCTGGTTTATTAAATAGACATTCAAATTGACAAATATTTTCATTAATCCAATTATTTTCACATTTTGTCCAATGTGCTTGTTCATATGAAGCTGTATGTGATTTTGTCATAACTGACATATATGATGTTGTATAACATGGAGTATCAATTTGATGAACAAGTCCAAGTTGATGACCAAATTCATGAGCAAGATAAAATGCTGCATTTTGATATGGAAGTATATACATGATTTCTTTCGAAAATTGTTGAATATTTAATACAAAAAAAAGAAAATCTAACTCACTATAACTTGGATGACAAACTCCTTTTAACATAGCATAACCTTGAGCAGCATTGGGTCCTTCCCAAGGTTGATACCAGAGTAATACAATTGAATCGTATCTATTAGAAGAATAGTATCGGTAAAATTGCCTTTCTTTTTTTAAAGATGTTTTCGAAAGAAATATCACATAGCATCCAATTTCAAATATAATTAGTTATATTTCTGAACTTCATTAAACACGTGATTCAAAATCAAGTTTTGATTAATTGTCAGAGCATATGTTAATAATATCTGTAGGCTACATAGATCTATCTACATGAAAAAATGACGGATTAAAATTTTGTCTATGAATTAGCTCTTTACAGGAAACAATAAGTCTCTAGTTGAAACGTAACCGAAACGGTATATTAGGTTAAACTAACATCAGTCTTTTCCTAACAAGACTCGAAGTAGAACACAAATCGGACCTGAAATTCAATCTGAATATGTATCTCAAATTCAACTGAGTTCAAATCTAAAACAGTCAATAGCTCTAAAATTCCGCACCGTTTATGGGAATCGGTTTAATAGTAGTAGAAATTTATTCAAAGCTTTTTTACATACGGATAAGATAAGCAAGTGCTACGATTAAGTATTATTATTTTTATAATGAAAGTAATTTTGCTTGTTATCTATGCAGTGGTTCATATATATGATTTTTAGTTGTCAAACACTTAGCGATCTGCAGTTTTCAAAAATCGAAAAAGAAGAACTCCGGACGTCTTTCTATCTGATATTATAGAAAACAAAATTTTTTAAAGACCCATCATCTACTCAAAATATTCATCAAAATTCAAAAAAATGGTGTTTCATTTCAAGGAAATTTTGATAAAAACTCAGAAAATTTGCTAAACAAAAATCAATAGAATTTATATAATCTGACCGAATAGATATGCATTGCATTTGTTTAGTATCAAGATATAAGAAGATAAATACCGGAAGCATGCCTTGAACTATGAATCTGAAGTTTCTCTATAAGAAACACATGTCAAAATCAAAATTGTATCCAAAAGAAACACGGTTTTTATACATTAAAATTTTTTGAGAAGATAATAGGTTTTAAAATAGTTTTGTTTTATATATTATCAGATAAAAACACATCCAGAGTCTTCTTCTTTCGATTGCTGAAAATTGTAGATCACTAACTATTGCAGTTTTCAAGTTATTAGGATTACATCCACTCCTCTTTAATACTAGCGTGAACATTAGATTGTTTTAAAGTCAACAATTGTGAAATTTCGAATTTTCAAAGATGAAATTTTTTTTTTTTTTTGCAAGAAACTTGATACCCAACGGGCTACAATAATGCGTTTTACTTATGGAGGACGAATTTTACCATTTAAATTGACTATTAGTTATGAAAATTTATTTTATCTACATCAATATATTTCGTTTTCACTTATTGTTATTCTCTTAGATCACAATTGAAAATTATCTATGAAATCCTTCATATATACTTTTCTTACTTGACAGTAGTATTTATTTTCGTTATTCATATGAAAAAAAAAATACTTTGAATAAATTTCTACCACTAACAAAAACATCAGTTCGTTCAAGCAAACTGGAACGGAGACATCTCAATTTTTTATCATAGTGCTATTGATGATCCATTCTATATATATCGATCTTCAACATATAATTTCACTCATAAGTGCATGAAATAGCACATTATTTCGAATTTCAATTTTTGAATTTTTCATCAGCATCCAAACTTTAATCTATGATTCAAATCAAATTTTTTTTTGCAAATGATTCACTTAAAAACTGATTTTATCGATATTACTTCTTTGTTTTTTTTTTTACCTATCATAATCAGATACAGATTGTCTAAGAATGTATTCATATTCATATGGTTCTTGTGATTTTGGTTGAACAATATTTAAATGAACTATATTTGAAATGATTATTTCTATTTTAATATCGAGATCATTTTCTGATTGAAATATCTATAGTAAATATAACAAATGCAACAAAAAAAAAAAAGATTTTATTTATCTACAATATTTGCTGTATCAACAATTGTACGTATATAATCTTCATAAGATATTTCTGATAAGTTTGGAAAATAATTTGAATCAATAACAAATAAAGTTTCAACAAATGCATAATATCGTTGACCATCAATTAATAATGGTAGAAAAAAAAGAAAAGAAAATTCGATTATGAACATAAAATTTAAGTATAAGAACAATACTGTTAACTTAAAGTTATTTTTTATTTTATTTATTATCATTACGCGCACTATACTACATTTAACAATGAAAACAAAAAAAAATGTTTATATAGAAAATATATGTTTATTATTGAAAATGACCATTAAGTTCAGCAATAAGAAAATCTTCATCTGTCATTGGTATTGCTTCATCAGTTTTGAATTTCTTTGGTGTACATATTGGTTGATTGGAAAGACTAGGGTACAAAAAAAAAACGAATACGAGGGAAAAAATCAAGAGATAGAATTACCTTAATAATTCTTGTTTGTTTTGATCAATTGCTATGTATATGTGTGATATTTGTTTGTATCGTTCAAGTACTGCAGTTTTTTGTCTATTAATTAATTCAATATATTCTTGTTTGTATTGTTTCGTTACCTGAAAAATACAAAAGCAATTTTTCAATCTACCAAATGAACAAAAAAAAAAAAAAACCTACCATTTGTTTAGTTGAAGACATGA